TATTAGTTGATTCTCAACTACGCACTTATATTTTAGGAGGGTCCTATTATCCCCCTGAACTATTTTATAGTAGAATTATTTGCTCCCTAATGCTGAGTTGGCAAAGAAAGTGTAATTCACCTTCTTAAAGAGAGTTTAGAGGCAAACTTTCTTACTTTTCTTTTTCATATTAATTTTCAGATCTTTTATGTTTTTCATTTTACTTTATTTTTACTTTACTTTTACTATATTTATGTTTTTCGTTTTACTTTCTCTCTCTTCTTTCTCTATTTCTTCAGTACTCCACCAGATTTAAGTTCCCTGAAGAAAAAAAAAAAGAGTATGAAATCATCTCACTATTAATAATTGTACTAGCGACGCTATCTCCTTCTTCTTTTTCTCAAAAGAAATTGACTTCACTTGCAAAAATTAGAAAAACACAGGATCAAATTAAAAATAAACACTTTTCCATAGCCAAGTGTTCATAAGTTCAAGCACAACACGAAATTGAACAATATAAAAAAAACCCAGTTGAATAAATAAAACTAACAAAGCATCAAGGTCAAAATTAGTATCTTTTACAACTAAATTGTTATTACAACAACACACAAAATTGAAGAAATTCAGATCCTAATAAGATCCAAATGTTGATTACTATATAAGTATATCAACATCAAATTCTTTAACATGAACAAACCAAATAAAATTTCTCCTTTTAGATTATTGTAAGCCAAATCAATATGCTCAAGACTTCGATAGTTGGTAAACTTTAAGGATTTCACCAATTAAATTCATATTTCATTCCTTTTTTTTAATCTTTCCAAACTCCAACAATATTCTCATCAGAGAAAATCCATTAAATACCAAACCTAGATATTCAAGATTGGCTATGTTATTGTGTTTTACCGGAAAAATAAAGTTCATATGCATATATAAGATCTATAGCTCCGTCAAATTTTCGGTTGGCGGCGGATATCTTTGATAAAATTGTTCCCCAAAATCAAGATATTGAAGTTTTTGAAGCCGATGAATATCCAATGGTATGAGACCCACAAATTAATTTTGAAAAAGGTCAAACATTGCATGTTGAAATAGTTGTATAAGAAAATTGGGAACTTAGATTAAGAAACTAATTTTTTTGAGGTTACAGATGGAACTTGGACTTTCCACTTCAATGGCAGCAAATTTTTAGTCAAAGAAAAGGATAGAAAAAGGAAAAAGAAAAGAAGAAACCGGCTGAAAAAAGAAAAGAAAAAACATAGAAGGGAAATAGAATAAAGAAAAAGAATAATTATTTTTTAATATAAGAAAAGTACCATATGTGATACGTGGCACCGCGCGTGCAACACACTGCTTACCATAAATTTGGGTGCGACCTTCTAAGGGGCAATATATTTCACTTTTAAAATATTTAGGGGGGGTAATAGGACCCCCGTAAAATATAAGTGTGTAGTTGAGAATTGACTAATAGATTGGGGGTTCATTTGGCCATTTTCTCTATTTATTCCACCAAAGTCATTGAATTATTTTCTTGACATAAAAATCACTCAACTTTTCCCAAATATTATATATACCAATTCACTAAACTATTTTTGTGTGACAAAATAAATGCATTCAATTTTGAATAAATACCACAAGTCATTGAATAATTTTTGGAGAAACTACATAATTAGATATACTATATTACTATATACATTATTATTATCTATACTTTCAAAATATTACGTATCTTACCCCTAATTAAGAGTTTTCCTATCATGTATTGAGAAAGATACACCTAGATCTGATAATTACGTATCTGAACGCATTAAAAGCTGGTAAGACTCACAATATTGCAAAGTAGAGTGTATCTAAGTAATTAACTATTAAACTAGTGGGATTTATGTAAGTTTTTTATAATTTTTTAATAAAAGAATCATCTAACTTTGCAGGAAGAAAAAGTATCTTGCAACATGCATGGCCACAATTTGCATACTCTGGAGTCTGGCCCAATGCTGCTTGTACAATCCAATCACGAAAAGCCCATTATTTCACTGCTATCCTATATATATCTCGTGGGTCTAGACGCCTTTCTTGGCCCATTATATAGAGGAGATCGCTGGGTCAGGCTCTATTTGGGCTCTAGACACCTATTGATATATGAGCAACTTACAAAAATAACTATATTTAGAGGGTTAATGAATATCAATAGCTGTAAGTATGCTATTTACCATAAATGACTACAATTTATATCACTTTTTCGCTGTATTTTTGTATAGTTTTTTATTTTTTTATTTATACATTAATACATCTTTAAGTACAATAAACTAAACAAGGAATTGACGCTAAATATAATCCACTATCCTTACATTACATCCATACAATGAGCAACTTCCCATAATTAGCTTTATAACTGAAAATTACTCATTTAAAGACATATCATATCATATTCTTTATCAGTTTAACAAAAAATGTGATACATCATACTCAATTTTCTTGTTGTCTCCATAATTCTTATTCTGGCGTCATGAAGGTATTAATAATTTTTTTTTTGTAAATTCAAGTTATTGTATGTAAGCAAATTGTTGAATTTGTGAATGAAGGTTAAGTATTTCGATTTTGAATTAGGTGAACTACATGGTAAAAGATACACTAGTTGTTAAACAAAAAATGAATACACCAATATAGGATACAATGAATACGTTGTTGTTAAACACAAAAATGAATACGTTGGATACAACTATACTTATATTCCCTAATCAACTTTTTATCTTGGATATAGTACTTATCTATCTAGATATAACTGTATTCGCAAATCAACATTTCAACTTGTGCTTATATAACAATACAAGTATCTATGTATATAAATATGGATACATTTCAACACTGTTGTTAAGCAAAAATATGGATACATTAGACAAACGAGCAAAAAAGATACAATTTGTGGGTACAAAACTGTATAAGTATGGATACATTAGACACACAAGCAAAAAAATATACAATTTGTGGGTATCAAACTGTATAAGCATTCTTGTAAATAAGATTTTGAAAAGGCCAACAATATTGTATTGATGTATCCAACTATACTTGAATTCCCTAATCAACTTTTTAAATTTGACAGAGTACTTATGTATTCAAATATAATTGTATTCACAGATCAACAATTCAACTTGTGGTTATATAATAATACAAATGTCTATGTATATAAGTATTCTACTATATACAAAATTGACAATCAAAGAACACTTAATCTCTTTTTTGATCATGTTCTTCTTGTACTCATTTTTTAACAACTATATACATACGAAATCAAATTTTCTAACAATTTCAATACAAGAGGACAATCCATAATATAATGACAATGGCACACAATACATGTGTTGAGATATATAAGTAAATGACATTAAACTAAAAAAATAAAGCATACAAATCTCAATTTCATTTTCCTCTTGTTCCTGCTCGACTGCTCTTTATTCACACTCACTTGAATCACAAGATTAGTTTTCACTTTTGAACATTTTTTCCTCTTTACTAATTTTGCATGTTCGATTTCTTCAAGCAGATTTAAGGGTATATGGTCATTAACCTTTTTTGTTCTTCTTTCATTCTCCATTGCAGCAAATAGAGCCTGAAATTTTGACTTGTTGTTGAGTAATACACAAATCAAAAGAAGGTAGTTCATCCAACAATTTATCAAATAAATGTATATCTCTCGTAACCCTCCTCGGAGTATCAATTTCAGCTATTGAAATGGATAAACAAATTCTTGAATCAAAACCCTATGAAAATAGAAGAAAGTGTAGATGTGTAGATATATAATGCTCATAAAAATGAGATAAATATGCAATTAGAAGATACCTGAT